GTACGAAGAGATGTCTCGAATGTTTTCCTAAATTTTTTTTGCCATTTTTAGCCTCTAGCCTACACTGAAAGAGAAAGTGAACATCCTGGGACTGACAACCAGCCAAAAGCTCAGGGGCTTCTCACCTAGAAGTTTCTTGCAGAGCACAGCAGAGAGCATGTGCAAAAGGTATGAGCTATTGTTACTCAGTTTCTAATCTGACAAAGTTGAGTCAGATCTGCTGTGCTCTGCAAAGGACTCTGCCTATAAAATCCAGCTTACTCGTTGGTACCATATTACACTTCCCTAAAAATATTGAAAATTATGTTTCCTTTTAAACAACATGCATTTTTAATATGATTTGTATTTTTTATCACATATCTTGTAAGTGTTCATTTTTCATTATGAACAACTACTGAGAGAATTTCTCAGTATGTTTTTGCCGTTCCTCCTAAGGTTTCCTTTAATCCTAAATGAGAAATTATAGTTGTATGCCTTTAATAGGACTTTTCTGACCTGACCAACAGAAAAAGATGACTGTAATCATGGCAAATTATGCAATGAATCCGAATTGAGTTTGATCCAGCTCTAGTCATTAATATGTAATACAGACTTTTGATTACATGATTCTAATCATGATTCCTTAAGTGACTTTATAACACTCATTCACAACTAATAGTAGGAAGACATGCTTAAGCAGAAGGACTTTGAAATTTATATTTATATACTTTACAACAGCAATAGCATGCATTGACAGCTAGGAATGATACAGCAAAAACTGCCATTCCTAGCATGTCCCCTTGTTTGATGTTTGCTTTCTGTATCCCAGCATTTATCCTCTTTCTTCCTACCAGGCGATCTTGCCTGGGCAAATTTTGATCACTTTCTATATTTGTCTGGGATTTTAAGCCTTCCTGTTCTTGGTGAAAGGTCAGATGCTGGTTTTCATATGCCCTGAACTGACATGTGAGCTGACAGTTTTGGACCTGGCTTGTATTCAGAGGTCAAAGACAACCGTACTGTGAGTGGACACACAGTATGGATTTTAAACCTCACTTGCACAATGCCTGGTGGTTTGGCAAGCATGTGATATACCCCACATGCATTATACAGCCAACTTGGAGCTGTGCAATCAGTTCGACACTTACAGGAGGACTCAACTTTAATTACTGGGCTTTGTGGAGGGACAGTAGGTCTAGGAAACCCCAGAGGTATGTATGGAGGTGCCACACAGAGGTGAAGCATCTGTGGCAGAGTTCAACTGGTCCTATCCTCAATTGCACAAGAATAGCCATTGAATCAACCTTAATATTGTACTCCCTGTTAATTAGACTTGACTTTCTTGAGTGCTTTCTCAAAGACAAATTCTTATTGGAGATAGCCTTTTTTCTAATTTGACCCAGCTCTAGTTTTTTTCAGGACTACAAGAGGTTTGGACACTGCTTCCTTGTGTGGTTTATTATGAATCCACATTAGAGAGTTAATTATGCTTGTTATCTCAAAGAACTCTTGATGATCTCCTGTGACAACCTCATTCATTCTGTGGCCTGCTGAGCACATGTATATAAGAGCCTCTGAAGTGTAGCTGAAACACTGATGTATAGTTCCTTTTTCAATTGACTCATTTTAACTGGAATTTAGTATAATCAGACATTCTATTTTTTTTTTTAGATTTATGTTATTATATAAGCACCACTAAGACTACAAATAAAGCCTTAGATCATTGTGAAACAGCATCAAGAGTCCAAGAAAAACTCCAGGTTACCAGAAGAATGTTCACTTATGGGAGGAAAGATAAATATTTCTAAGACACACATCATAATTTTAGCAGTATCTGAAAGAATATTTTTTTTCAGTTTATCTTTTACCTTTGGTAATTAGAAGTTATAGTTCCTGCCCGGAGGATCTCCGGTTTCCATTTAACTTTAATTTCACTGCATGAATGGAATGTGGCTGCCTATTCAAAATCCACATGTTGCCCCGTGGCTTTCTCATGGTGGAGGATGTGCCTGTCTGGTGCTAGAGTTGAAAAACACTTTGGGTTGTGCAATGTCCTTTGCTTATGGATATATGGGACAGATTTGTACACAGCTAGGGCTGTTGGTGTCATTTCCATATATGTGAGCTTGTCAAATATATGTTTACATTTTAATCATGTTTGTGTTTATGCTTATTACATGGTTTTGTTTCATTAACTCTTTCATTCTGAATTTGCAGTCAAAAAGGGGTTCCCTAACCATTCTTTTCCAGAACCACTATCATATAAGAATAAAGATAAACATTAAAAAAGGGGAATAATCTTTTGCCAAGATTATAAATTCTAAGGAATTTAGTCAGTTTATTTGACTAAAATGTTTTATTTTAAATAATAAGAGGTTTTATAACACACCACATCATTTCCCAACTGAGCTCCTTTGGGATTTGTAAAAGCAGTCAGAAAAACTGAAAAAAAAATTATCAGGAGCTGGTTAATCATGAAATTTATTTCATGTAATTGCAGAACTCAGACATCCAAAAATAATAAGATAGTTTCTCCCCAAATCATAACAATCTAAGCAACAAAAAATGTTGAGGCTGTTTTTATTCCCTGCTGTTAGATACACTTCGTGTGACCTTCTACCTAGTCATACCTTGCTCTAAAAACAGCACCTGATATTGTATTTCATTGTCCTTAAAGAGTCCACTATGTCCCTGGACATTCAGCAGGTCTCTCTGAAGTATCATCAGTTCCTGTGCAGTTTTAAGCAAATCAAAAATAGTTCTAAGTAAGAATCATTCCATATGTGCATTAAGTTAATCAGCACAAGTTTTCTCATTAATATGGTGTCTGCTTACACATACACATATTAGCAATAGCTGCTATGAAGCTTTAATTCTGTTTAAACAAAAGCTACGTTCTGTATTTCTTCATTTAGCCTTACCAGTCCCAACATTTTGCATAACCTGAGTCAAGCCTTGAGGTCAGCCTACAAATCACAGTATTAAAAAAACAAACAAATGTTGTACTTTTTTGTATATGTCTTTTTTTTTGTGTATGTGTGTGTGTCTGGGGTGGGTGTGTGTCTTTATGACCTATTAAATAGTACCACCTGTTCATTCTTTTTGCAACACAGAATTACAGGAACTATTTTTTTCATGAAACATAGTAAATATCATAGAACTTTGAGTGAAAAGCTGTGTTGGCAGCTGTACTGCTATTGTAGCATCATTTAAAATGTTCCTGCTTTCCTTCCCTGCCAGCTATGTATAAAGACATCTGAAGTGATCTAGAGGGAAAGATAGAGCAGTGTGGTTACCAAGGGCTTCAAAAGCTGTCACAAAATCAGTGCCTAGTTTGAAAAAAGAAGTTTGTAATTTTAAGTATAGATTTTGGCACGTGCTTAAAAACACAATGAAGAAATTTAAATGAAGAAGGAACGGTGGACTGAAAAAAGGATTAAAAAGCAAAATAATATATCTTAAATTTCCTTAAAGCTCCTAGCATATATGTAATTCCTAGAATGGCACGTACACCGTGCTTAACACAGAAATAGGCAAAGTAAGCTAGGATTTCTAACACTGTATAGAAGGGTTTGTAGTATCTCTTGTGTTAAAATTGTAATGAGAATGGGTTTTTTAATTTCTGAAGATTGGTGCCAAAATCACTCACATTTTTGTTGTTAGACAAAACTATGTCTGCTAAAAGGCTCTTTTAATTTTGTCTAATAAAATAAGAATGAAAATGATATTAAAATATTTAAATCAAATTATATAGTTACATGAACTGTTAGACACTGAAGGCTGAGTCATATCCTACTGCAAATGTAAATGCTGGTAATAATACTTTACATTTTTTGATTCAAAGCACCCTTGATTATCAACTAGTTATCTACTGATTATCAATTATTTACTAATTTACCCTCTCTGACATAGCAGTGACTTCCATTTTATGCATGGAGTAATTTGAGTGTCAGATTTACCTGACACCACATTCTGATTCAATGATGCAGTGAAGATGAGACTTCAAATTTCTGTCTTCCACTGGCAGTTAATAATTTGATAAATTTAGGTAACTGAGTAAATGTGAACAAAGCTTTTCAGTTGTGAACATGCATTATAAGGGATAATTTTAATTAATTAACTACCAATTGAATTTGATCTAGCTGACCTGGAAGTCTGCAACTTGTGTTTTCATGAGAGTTTACATGATTGTTTCCACCAAGAGAAAGTGAAGATAATTTGCTTTCAAGTCTGAAGTGCAGCATTTTACGTTCATTGTGCACTTCCAGAAAAGTGGAAGTGATTTCACAAGTGATATAGGTCTCTGGACATGAACCCTCATACTCTAACCTCAGGCTGTAGTGTCACCATGCACCTCACGCGGTAAGGCAGATAGAGTACATTGCATTGCTCCAAATGTAAACTCTGGAAAACAAAGAATATGAAAGCAAGACACACATCACTTCTACAGCACCATCTTGCCTCTTTCTGAAATGATGACACCATACACCAGAAATGGAATAGCTTTACAGATGGTGTGGGGACACTTTGGAAAACAATGCCAAGGTAGAGCCCTGAAAGCTCTTTGTTCAGACAGCTCAGGTCAGTTACATTGAGTAGGAGATACTTATTTCACACGAGCCATCTCAAAGTCTGTAAATGTTGTGTTTCTCCTTTCCTCTGCTCTCAACATGACTTCAGATCTACTGCATGCCTTTGACCTTCACTAAACACTGGAGTTTTTTCTGCAGGATACATCCAGCTTGCTGGTAGTTTCTATGGTGATAGGAGAGCTTGTATACCTCTGCAGGCACAATCTGCAGAATTAATTGTCGACAAAAGTCTTGTTTCATGTATGTGTTTACTTCCCCTCTTGCTGCAGCCACAGCTCTGGCAAACTGCTACTCAATTTGTTCACCATTCTCTACAGCTACCTACAGCCCAGTGGCTGTAGCCAGACTGAGTACAGGGAATTATTGCAGTTTAAACCATTAGAATACAACCCCAGAAAAAAGCAATTCTTTCTACTGTGTACTTTCCAGATTTTGGACACCTTGGAGGTTAAGCGTGATCAAAGCATGGAATGCCAAGCTGAGCTAGAGAGGGTGCCTCCAATTCACAGCCTTTGGTTGTAGCTGGGTAAGGAGAGGGAGGGGGTGGGGTGGGGGCAGCAGGGAAGAGGGACCAGGTTCAGATGGAATAGCGAGTGTGTAGCTGCTGTCTTCTCTCACCTCTGGCTGCTCAGTGTTTGTCACTGCATTTGGCCTTTGCAAAGCAGGAACCTCTCACTTAATCATTCAGCAACTTTATTTGACCACACTCAGTCTTTCATCTTTTCTCTATCTAATTAATGCTAATTTCCTTGATGATACTCCTAAAGTACAGTTGGAGCCTGGACCTAGATTACAGAGCACTTTACAATATCAGCAGTAAATCAGATAGAGATTGTGAAGCACATATATAATATGCATTTCCTGAGAGTTGTGAAGGGTGGGATTTTATCTTGCAGTGCATTAGTGCCCCTAAGATTGAATAACGCTCTAAGTGTCAGTTATCATGACACTTGATTGCCTGGAAATCCTTTTGCGTTACACCATATGCCTATTTCATTTCTGTAGACAAATCAGTTTGGCATATGTAAACATGAAACCATAACTTTTGTCTTTTAGACAGTTTTCAAGAGTGATTTTCCTGAGGAGCAAGATGTGTTGAGAGAAATAAGGAGGGACTGAAATCCTTGTATTTTGAACCCAGAAGTGTACCTGAGACATAAGAGAAGAATGCAGATTAAAACTAAAACATACATTCAGCTTGCACTGTAATAGGTATGGTATCATTGAATTAATGAAAATTATCCTCTGTTTTACAGATATTTGCCTCCAGCAAGAAAGGTATATGGGTTGTTTCGTTCTTTTTTAATGTAAAGTTAGACCACTTGGCTATATGACTTCAGCCAAATCATGCAGCCAGCATCATTCCATGTATTACCGAGAAGTCTTTCATATGACGATATATGACTGCTTGCACAAGCAGATTTCAAGGTATATTTGTGGAATTACATTCAGAGCTGCAGGTGGAATTTGGATATCAAGCTCTAAACACATGTCCTAAATACTCTAAAAGCCAAACCTATCCATCTCTGTAAGTCTGATTGCAGTTGCGCCCCATTGTCTGGTTACTTCCAGTGGTGGAAAGCAGAGATGAAATATGTCTCTTTTTGCCTGGTAGGATTTTGTCATCATTTCTTACTGATTACCCAGGCATCTGGTGAAACCAGGGAATTCCCACAGATTTTGTCTCTGCTATTCTGAACAGTATCTCTTTGATGGCAATACATGCAGCCCAGTACAGTTTACAACTTTGACTCAGATTACTGTTGTAACTCTCAGTTACAGTATTGGCTCAGTTTCTCTGTATCTCTTATTACTGCCAAAGATCAGAAAAGCTCTTAGTAGACCTTCCTAGCTAAAATACAGCATCTTCTAAAATCTATTCAAGGAAGGAAAACTCAACCAAATAGACACATTCCTCCAAACTTCTTCCCCATGTTTTTACCTGAGTTTTATAAAATGAGAACAGGATCAGAGCACATGTATATAAATTTAGGGAAAATACTATATTGAGCGTTCTCCAGAGATGTTTTTCTGAGCCACCATGTATGAAAGTCCATTCATTTTTTTGATAATATATTAGCTTCAGTGACTACAGTTACCCAAACCCAAATTATTTTCATTGTATGTTATGATACCCACGTTTTCAGAACCTATGTGTTATTTAGTTGAAACACAGTAGCTGGCACTTCTACTGAAAAATCATTAAACATTTCCATATTGGCTTCCAACTTGTCTAGTGTTTTTGCCTGGCAGAATACAGTGCATCTTTGTGCGTTATTAATGGGCTGAGCTTCTGGACAAGACCATGCTTTTTGCCACTGCGGAATTTTCTTAGAAACAATGCCTTATAAAAGAGACGGAAACTTTCATACATCCAGAGGACTATTTTTGACAGAGTACGTTAAGTCGCTTTCATTAGACAAAAGCTGCAATGGAGATTTCTTCCATTCAAAGCATAAATTAAGTGTTTTAAAAAAAATTCTAGGCATTTTAGCAGTTGCAATACTGGGAGGAATATGGGAGGCTGTTAGTCTGCTGGTCCAGTCTTTGGCCTGTATGAGTCTTCACCTACTTTGACTCTAAGATGGATAACGGTATGAACACTTCAGATGCAAAAAGATATAGAAGGGTTGCCGGATGCGAGTGGTTCGGAAAAATCAGTGTCAAACATTAGAGGAACCTTTCCAGGAGGACTGCAGGCTCTGGGATGGGAAATCTTACAGATTTCATGGATTCACACTTCACAGATTTTACAGAATGCTCTGAATTGGAAGGGATCCACAAGGATCGTTGAGTCCAACTCTTAAGTGAATGGCCTATACAGGGATCAACACCAAAACCTTGGTGTCATTAGCACCATGCTCTAACCAGCTGAGCTAATCTCAGGGTCAATGTGCCATTCCCAACAGCACTAGGAGCCATGTTCAACCCTGCTACATCCCCCAAGCACTCCTGAGATGTCCCAAAACCTAAATGCTGAAATATAGCATTTCAGCATTAGGCACCCTTTCTGCCCTGGCACCCGGGAATCCTGTAGCAGAGCAGTCCATACTTATCTGCATACTCTGAAGCTCAACTAAGACCTCTCTGTGCTTCATGACATGCTCAGCACAGATGGTAGAACAGGAGAGCAGCTGTGCATGGCCCTGTGCCCAGTGGGCAGGAGCTGGCAGAGCTGGTTCTTCTCATATGGAGGAGTTAAACAAGAAGTTTCTTTGGCTGTGCATCTGTCCTCTTAATCCTCACTCCTACAGCTGAACATGTCTTCTGAAATGAAGGCAATTCAAAAAGCTGTCTAGGAATTGTCAGCCCTTTGAGATCTTTATACTACAAAACAATTTTTGGGGAATCGTCCAGATATTGTCACCCCTGGAGCAGAAATAAACATGTGCCTTGGTCTCAGCTGCAATACATCATAAAGCTGGGTAATGTGTTAAAGCTGGGAAGAGAGAGTTGTGCTGTTGAGCCAGCATGTGAGTTGTTGGGGAGTTCATGATACGCTCTCCCTTGTGCTGTCTCCCTAGCAGGGTGTGGGGGTGGAGGGAGTGGGAGGGGCAACTCTGTCAGACAGGCATAGAAGAATTTTCTGAAATTAGCTGATCCAAATTCGACAAATGAGACCATGCCCCTTAAATGACAACAGGAAGGTCTCATGGAGATAAATATTTTATTGGCAGCATTTCTGGTTTCCTTCATTTTAAAATGATTGGAATTGGGATAAAAACAGATTCAGGCAGACAAATTGGTCCCCTGAATCTCTTATTCAAGAAGTTTAATATAGTAAAAGGTGAGGTAAGAGTCACTCTTTAAATCTGCCTCAATCACTTGCACCAAATTTATGTATTTAACCACCAGCAATCTAAATTATTTCAAGTGAGCACCTTCCCAATCTTTCTGTTTACCCCCACCCAAAACCCCCCTCCTGCCTCAAGGCTTCTAGGTTTTGAATGAAGTGGTGTTATCTGTTATTTGTCAAAGTGAAGATTTCCTTCAACTCAGTACAGGATGAAAACTTACATTGTGTCCTTAGCCTTGACTAGGTCACAAAGTGAAAGTCATACAAAGATAGGAGTCCATGTCCTAGGAGTTTCAGTGTTAATTTCCTGGGAGGGGGTGGGGATCTGACCAAGGTGGACTTGTATTTCCTGGCTGGTTGGCAGAAGTGAATCTCTCAAAATGATTTTGTGCACAGTGGCTGCCCCATGCTTAGAAGTCTCATATCCTGGAATGAGACATAAAGAAATGAAAAAGGAAGCAGCAGTGGTTGAGTAAAAAAAAAATATGTCAGGATATGAAAATGTGTATTGTTTTAAAGCAAGAGGAGTTCGGAGAAGGTTCTAACATAAGGTCTGCAGTGGAGGAAACAGAATATTTTTGATGAAAAATTTGTTCTCCCTTTTGCTGAAAGTTCTTCGCTCAATATTGCAAGAAAACTGCATTTTTAATCTACACTAACAAGATGAAAATTGAGATTGTTTTTTGCTTCAGCTGTGTATGCTCTACCACCAGCAGCCACTTGCTGGAAGAAACAACCTAAACTCGGGAACGTGCAGCACGTTCTTCAGCACCATCTACTGGCACTTTCCCCACCCACCACTTGGGCACTGCAACACCTACAGACCTTGAGAGAGTCAGGAAGAAAGAAAATTAGTAAAATCCTCCAAGAGACCGTTGATACATAGTAAATCTAAAGACTAGCCTGACTGAATTAGTGCGTAAGTAGATTTTGATTCTAATAAGAAACAGTACAAATCAGTCAACTTAGAAGCTGTGTAACTGAGCTTACAGTTGTATAGGTCCCCTAGCAAAAACATAATGAAGGCCAGGGACAGAGTAAAACAGGTCAGATAAAATAGAACTCATGAGGTAATGGAAACACGAAATGAGGTTATCTGGGCAGGGAAAAAAGCTACAGGAAATGTAAGAAGATATTACCCTAGAAAAGAGCTTTTGGAAGCAGAGACTGGGAATAGTGTGTATTTCCTGAGATCTGTACCTTAAAAATGGCATTCCTGAACAGGCATGGACTGTTATTCTCTAATTTTGCAACACTAATTTTTATTTGTAACACTGATTAAGAGGGAGGGATGACTGTGTTTTTTAAGAAGACAGTAGATAAACAAGCTCTGATCCCTCTGACTAGAGCAACTCTACATGCTGCTTCAGCGGGACAGAGCTGGTGTTATGTTTACTGACAGTCTTCGGGAACAGTGACATGAAAACAAAAAGGAAAATAAAATTTGGAGCACATCTTCTAGACACTGTAAATCAGTGCTAATCACTGACATCAAAAGCACTTACTGATTTGCTGCAGTGGAGGAACCTTTCTCTCTGTTTGGTGCCTTTTCTGCCAGTGGAGTAAACCCAAGTTGTTGCACAGCCACTGACTGAACCCTAAAATATATTCAGTATGTTGAATAGTTTCCAGAGCCAATTCTCAGTATTCATTTCATTGACGAAAGATGGTGTGCCAAAGGCATTCCAGGTAGCCAGGAATGAGCTTTTCCTGGTGTTTCAGAAGACCAAACAAAAGTTACATAACAGAATGTGCAACTGACACATTTGAATAAATACTTGTTAAACCTAGCTAAGTTTTCTGGTGTTTTTGTTTTTTGATTATCTACAGCTCTATCTTCACAGATTTATAACAATTCAGTGAAGTAGTACAGAGAAAAAGGTCTCCTCACCATAGCACTTGACCTCAAAGTCATCTAGTCCAATAAAAATTAATTGACCAAAGGCTTCTATACACAACTTTCTACTCACAACCTTTTCTTCTAATTAACGTTGTACTTAACTGCAACATCAGCAAAATGCTGACAAAATTAATATTTTGCAGTATTGGTTTGCAATATCTTCTTTAATGGCAACATCTTTTGAAAGATTGTTAAGTTGGCAGCTTGGCTTACTGAGAATGATATTTAAGCAAAATTTCATTTATCATCAGTGCTTACTTATGCTGTTGTTACAAACGCAAGTGCCTCCAGTTCTTAAAGACAGGATAATTCATTTACTAGCTGTATCTGGAGAATCCAGTAAGCTGTATTTCCTCATGACATCTACAGGCTTGTGAGTTTTGTAAATTTTTTTGGAAGACGTTATTTCAAAAGGAAATACAAGGACCGAGATGTCTTTCAAAGTTAATGACTTTCTATGAGTCTCTTATTGATAGAAATGGCCATATGTGCGGGCAACAGTTTATTATAGAAGTCAGTGGATGAACAGACCATGGGTAAAGTGAGACTGGACAAGTGAGGTTAGGGAGATGAAGGCTTGAAACTACAAATGCCAGTAATGTTCTTTGAAAAGGCAACTCATAAAGAATGGGCAAAGGCAGATTCAGAAAAAGTAAAAATTTTAGAAAAATTTTTCTCAGAAGTTATTCTGGG